GCTCCATCTTCACAGTCAACACAGTGCATTTTAAAATTGGGTACTGGACTAATTATGTTCCAATTAGATTAGGCCTGTGAAATGAGACCCAAATTTGTGTTATATTCACATTAATCATGCTTCAGATAACAGTCTATCTCCATCACTAAGTTTTCAATGGCAGGAGATTGTGATATAATGCAATAATTTCTCAATATAGATAGAACACACTTGGTCTTATCCATACAGATACTAAACTCATGGAAACATTACAGATACAGAGACAGGTAGGACTCAGCCAGGTTGTTAAAAAAAATGAATCTCTCATCCCTTCCTAGGGTCATATATATGGCCCCTAACTCTACCTGGATTAATACATGGAGTTCCCTTTAAACCAATTCCTAACACATTCCAGGCTTCTCTACAAAGCTGGTTCAAAGCATTTGACAACCTTGTTAGGCCACAGTGGAGTTACTGCTTTGCATGAGCTTAAGTTTTCAACAGAGTTAGATGATAGTGGTCACTAACAGAAGCAGCTATGCTCACAAAAGGCCTCCGATTCAGTGCAAGGTGACTAGCTGGAGGCCATGCAGAAAAGTTGTATATGGAGTAGGGAGGTCTCCAGCTAGAAAGAAGCAGTCCAGAGCTGAAAAACACTTCTTGGAAATGCATTTGATTGAATTCACTGAGGTGGTGTCTAAGCTAGGGTAGAAAGGGGCACAGGGGACATATGGTTCCTCAGAGGACATTTAACCAGGAGCCAGGCTCAGTCAGCACTGAGAGCCTTACTTTCCCCCCTTTTAATACCAGTCCCTGCCTGCATTGGCTGCAAGCATACCTACCTGGGCAGAGCCAACCCCACCCAGCAGCTCTCTAACTCTTTCCTCACCATGAGCTAGGCAGTCCACACAATCACACGGGAAAACAGAAGGCTTCCCAAACACCTGCCCTGATCAGATGTTGATAATGTCTCCTTTGTGAGGTATTAAGTGGGGGGAAGGGTTTTCTACATGGCACCAAGAAACACCCAGAGGCAGATTCGTGGGCAAAAACAAGGTTAGAAAAAAGGCTGGACAGCTACCCAAAGCCAGAGGCAGGCAAGAGCTGGTTCCCCTGCACATAACCAACAGGCTGATTGTCCCATCTATTAATTTCTGTGCAACCATGAAAGTGTGTGAACATTGTTGCCCCACTGGAGATATCATGCATGGAAAGTGGGGCACTCTCACCTTCCAGCGGCTGTTCCCAGATGCAGGTCTGCTTGTTTCTGCAAGGCCACATATAGGAGAAATTGTTCCTTAAAGAAAAAGCCAGTATGAGGCCTTGGCACCACCTGGGCCCTATTAGGAGTGAGCAGGTGAGAAAACAGGTGTGGCTATTGCAGGAATGGACAGACATTACATACATCCTGCAGAGGCCACTCTGAAATAAACTCAGAGTACAGGCACACATTACTGTATCTGCCCTTAGGCAGGATGAGGAGTCATGCCGCCTTGACAACCACCATTAAAGTTAATCCCTTGTTTTTCACATTCATCTGTGCCTCCCTGCCTCTCCCACATGGTTCACATTAGCCTCTGGGCTGTAGGAGCTAGCTTTCTGTGTTGTTTTCAGCCTGCATTGGTGCATCACTGTCCCATATCAGTGTGCCACCTGCCTGGACAACTGCATTGATTTTTCTGCCATCAGGCATGTATGCTGGCCCCAGGAACTCAGAATCCCAGTTTGATCCTCATGGCTGCCCCTTTTGCTGCATTTCTTTGCTTTGCCAGCAGATGTATTTCTCCAAATCTATGCAGCTAAGTGTCCTGCAAACTGCAGGAACAGAGAGGTTGCACCTGAAATAGCAGAAGCCTAAACCTTTACAACAGTGTGGCCAAGACATTTTCCCTGAACGGGTCTAGATGGACAGGGCTCCAAGAGACTTCACTTCCAGGCAGAGATTCTCCAGAGATTAGCTGGGAAAACTGGCTTGAGGAGTGCATGCCTTCTTGTGTCTACCTTTTCCCTATTGCTTGCTTTCCAACACTCACTGGGAGGATATAAGCCATACTTTACATTGCTGTTCTTTGAGTGTAGTCTATTTAGGTTTGTCAGCCACATAACTTGTACATTCTTAGCTAACAGTTCTGTAATTGACCTTAATAAGCCTGTTTGTTTCATTTCCTTTCATCTTGTGCTTTATAATTCTAGAGAGCAATAATTAAGGAGAAGTGCAGACCACAAATAACTTCTACAAACCCAGACTAAACGATGCTCAGGTTGGAGTGCTGGATTTCCCTCCTCTCTGTGGAGCACCAGGAGTGTGCTCAGTACCTTACAGAACACAGTAATTATCAGTCTGTACTCAAAGCAGCTGAAAGTCCAAGAGATCTTGTGCTGTGCAGCTATACTGCCTCTAATTTATGCTTCCTGTGACTAGCTAATGTTAGTCTAATAAAAGGACTACATCACTTCACTGACATCAGCAGTACTATTACTACAAGCAGAGCTGTTTCATTTTAAACTATGTCTTTAATGAGCACAACAACAGTTTTTTTCCAGCTAGGAAGTAACAATGATGGCAAAGGGTATTAGGTGCAACAAGCACCATTTTGTATAATTTTCACAACCTATTAATCAGAATGCAATAGTTTCTGGAACTGAAATGAGCTCTATGTTGTGCTAAGTCTCCTCTAATGTCATAATCCCACCTGCCAATAATAAGGATGGACTGCAAATGCCTGGAAATAAGTAAATTCCCTTTCCTACATGGCACTGAAGCTAGGCATACCCAGCCTCATTTCCAATTGTGCTACTGCCTTAGTTTCCCCCTCTATCCAGTTAGTCTCCAATAGGGGGAAAGGGAAATAGATCTCTCACTAAAATGCCCCTCTTTGGATTCTTGTTTGGTAAAAGCATTGTGGGGGAAAAAAACCAAGATCTTTTCCCAGTTCCCTGCTGGGTCACAGTCCTTAGTACAGAGCTGTCCTCCATTGGGGCTTTCCTGCCAGAAACCTCTTCTCTGCCTCCCATAACAACCCAGCTGGCCTCTGTCCCTGCAGGATCAACCCCTGGAAAAATTCACTAAGCAAGCTTATAGACTGCTTATAACCACCCAAGCCCTGGATTCAATCCAGTTTCCTGAGAGACGAATAAAGAAAGGCACAGGTGAGGAGGAGCCCAGCTGTCTCAAAAGTCCAGCCTTTGAATATGTGCTTGGGAACATGCCTAT